GCAGGGCCGCGGTTCGGGGGACGGCGCGGTCGGTCGGCCGGCACGCCGGTGTGCCAGCTGTCCGGTTCCACATTGCTGGGAGCCGAGCCAGGCCCAAGGAAAACACCCACCTACAGCTCCCGTTACCGGCAGGGGGCCCGCCTCGCCCCGCACAGCGTTCCAACACGCTTACCTGTTTCAGAGATGTTCCTGACATGTATTTTTCAGAGCCGCTGAGCACCAACAATCGAAAGTTGTACAGTAAAACAACTTGTCGTGCGCTTTCACAAAGTATAGAGACTGTATAATTTTTACTTTCGAATAGTAATGCAAATTAAGTTACACATTTATGTCATGAAAAGGGGTTTTGTGTGTGTGTCTTTTCTCCATTACACAGTTTTTCATCTTCTGAAGAAATACGAGCTTGTACGTCTTATGTGAACACGTTTCACAGTTGAACAGAAAATGACTATAGCGTTAATCATTTCAACTGGTTCATCATCATAAATATCTGGAATATATTTTTTAATGGAGGCCAAGCACAAAAACACTGCAATGAAAAAATATGAGTGGAAGCCTGTGTTTCCCCATTTGTCAAGAGAAACTGTAACTGCCATCAGCTTAATTGCAAAAAAAAAAACAGGGTTCTTCTGAGGAGCTGGTGGACTCTTTCTGATTAGAGAATATAAATACAAAGAAAATTATGTGAAAGTCTGAAAGCTACGCAATATTCTGTGTATAGTGAACAAAATGACTTTTATGAATCCATGGCAGTAAAGAAAATTTAGTGTACTGTAGGATATTTTTCTATGAAAATAAATGCTATGTGGTCTTTTAAAAAGATATTTTTCCTAGAATAAAATTAAAAACATCCGTCACTGCACATCCCAGATCTCACAGAGAAGGTGAAAGTCTGAAAGCTACGCAATATTCTGTGTATAGTGAACAAAATGACTTTTATGAATCCATGGCAGTAAAGAAAATTTAGTGTACTGTAGGATATTTTTCTATGAAAATAAATGCTATGTGGTCTTTTAAAAAGATATTTTTCCTAGAATAAAATTAAAAACATCCGTCACTGCACATCCCAGATCTCACAGAGAAGAGGTGTGAATTTGTGATCATTCACTCTCCATGACATCAGCATCTCTGCATGATGATGGTTAAATGTCCGTAATTCTGTAAGGCGGCCAAGAAGACATGCAAAGTGTTGAGGGTTATCTGGATGGTGAAGTTTGCAAAATTTTTGTAGAATATCCAGAAGGGGTTCTTGAAGCCTTTCCACAGACTCTCTGTCCTTTATGTATTGTCGATCTGGTTATGGTTTTAAAAGAAAATAAGTAATTAGCAAAGACATGCTTTGATACAATATAAATATTTACACTGATAAATTAATAACAAAATATTCAAATATTTATGCTGGGCACTGATGTTCACACCTACCAAGAATATTTCTGTTTAAAGCAAGAGGGAATAAAAATGCTTTAAAATTGTATTTTTGGTTTGGAGTTTTCATGTAAACCTCCCACTTCTGGCTAAGGAAAACTTCCGACTTTTTCAAAAACTGAAGAGTTTTAACTCAGAAATGTGTATCATCATCTCCCAATGCGGTTCTGCAGCTGAGGACGTTCTGCGATGCATTGCAACAACTGAGCAGCACAGCATAGATTCTTGGGAGATGTAGTACAACCAGGGAACTTGACCAGTAGAGAAGTGTGTACATGCAGGTCACTAGGGAGATATCGAACACCTTCATCCTCAGATGAAATTTCTTTGTTAGAAAATACTTGTCTTTTTATTTTGTTCATATGGAAGTATGTGTTTGGGTATTTGGAGACAGAGGAAAAGAGGAGGATGGGTGGTTTTGTCACTGAAATTTTTGGTGTTAAAAAATTTCCTGAGCCTCACTGACTCAGAGAGCCATGGAGTGGCTTCACCTTCCCATCATCCATGAAACCTGATTTGGAAACCTCATTGTCTGTCTTTTGTCCTGAAGCATCAGGCTTCTGCCATTTCAGTGATAGTGGGTTTATTTGAGGCACTATACTATTTCTCTGTATGTTGTAGGTAGAGCTGGTTGGTTTTGTGTTGTTAAAGAATTATTATTTTTTTAACAGCAAAGCCTGTAATCAGGACGGAGACACTGTTATGCCAATACTTCTCAAAGGACAGTTTCCAGCACTTTATAGTCAAGGGGGCAACTTGCCATTGTCCTTCTGCTCTTACCAGCTGGTGTTCATTCAATAAAGGCTGAAGACCTTCATTGCCATTCTCTATTCTAAGATAGAGGGTTTCCCAATTTCTCTCTAAAAACTGTGACATTCCACAATGGTCTGTAGAGAAGTGCATGGAACCATATCTGGGATTTTCTGAAGGAAGAAGCCTGTTGTACTAAGTACTGAGGAGATGCCAGTAATTTTCTTTAAGTAGGGTATTTAGGCACTTTTTTTCCTTATATGCAAAACCAGATGGTGTAGCAAGACATTTGGAGTTTGGATTTGTGTGCTTGTTTTCTGGTTTAACAGTTTAATGTATTGAATAAGCACGTATGCTCATTTACTCTATGTAGTATGTAAGTTTTTACAAGTCTCAGGTCACACTCCTCCTGCTTTCTTTCAAAAACCAGTTATTTTTAATTCTGGGTTAGAAGTTACCTGGAGACAGGATAACTATGGCTGTGAGCAGTGCGTATTCTTCCTGTGTCATCTTCAGCTCTCCAATGCTTTTATAAAAATTAAACATGGGAGTTATGAATTCATCTGAGATACCTGTGAGAGAAAAAAAGTTTTAAGATTTTTTAATTATTGAAGTAATCTGGTTTATTGCCACAGAGCAATTATTTAGTATTTGAAGCCTTGAATGTCTTGGTAGGAGAAATTTACTACGCAAATCAGACCTGATGCAAGGCAATTAGTTACAAAAGTGCAAGCACAACCCTGTTTTCCAGATCAGAGTAGAACAAGGCAAGCACTGGCAATTTCTTTTTGCATGGTTTCAAAGTCTTTCTTTTAAGCAATTCCTTTTCCTTTGCAGGTTTGTCTGTCTAGCTCTTCAGGACAAGTCTCATACACCTTTTTCTCACTGTCTGCTGATACTCTGTCTTCTGTTTCCAGTATGCACAGTTTGTGTAGCAGTCTCCATGTTCCCTATCTTTACATTAGTTATACGGAAACCTCTCAGGGTGTATGGTTTAATTCAAGCCTAACTCTACTCTACAGCTAGCTGCCTTGGGCAGTTGCTTCAGTTATCTCCATAAAGAGTCTTAATTGCTCCTTCTATGTAGCCTGAAACTTTAGCTAGGTCTAGGATTACCTGTAGTCCAAGATCAACTTGCTTGCAACTACTACTACCTTAAAGCATAAACTAGTGTGTCATAAAGTACAAAGCCATATATAATTAAAATCCAGCTCAGTTTAAGGATGGGGTCATCTGATTCTCTCGCCATCAGCGAAACCCTTTGGGGTTACCGAATTGGGGCATGCCGACTGGGCTTCCTCTTACTGACTTTGTCATCAGGTCACAATGTTCTTACTTAGCCTTAAATTACAGATGTACTTCATTCTGCTTTTCGGTGTAAAAGAGAAGTAGGTCCTGTGACAAATTTTTTTTTTTTTTTTTTTAAAAAATTGGTGCATGAGTCATTCAAAGCAGCCGCTAGACTGTTGACAACAGCTACTTGTGTCTCTGAAGTGGTGGCACCGATAAGGTATAGAGAACTGAACCAGTGGTTCTGCAGCAAGAAGCCTTTAGGTCTTCCTTAGCTGCAAGGATGCAAACCTCCTCTGTTCCCACAGATGAGGCCATAGGATTTCTTGTATTTTTACTCTTGATTTTGAGCTGTTGTGGGAGAAGACTTTATAACTTGGTGTGGAAACCCCATGAAATATTGGGATTTTGAGTGTTGCATACACCATGAAGCTGAAGTCCAGGACTGGTAAAGTTTGGAGTGCCTCTAACAGGGGAAATTCATAATGAAACTCAGCAGGTTGAACTCAAAGAAAGGAAAAAATGAAGTCACTTAACTGTGAACAAGTCACATTTTGCTGTGTCAGTGAGAACTTATTTTGTTCAGTGGAATACTTATGTGTCCTACAGAGTGAAAGTGTGGTCTTGCAGGGTGTGGTTTATTTTGTGGCTGAATGATGCATTTAAACATGTGACATGAGCAACCTGTGGTCACTACAGATTACAAGCCACAAATCTCATCTCTGTAAGAAGTTCAACACTATTGAGAAGAGTCTAAGTCAATTAAGCAGATACCTATGATGTGAGACAGCTCATCCTGTGGAAGTTAGTAATCCAGCTGGAGCTTTATACAGAACAAACAATAGTCATAGCATCTAATGTTATACAAGGTTTATGTTGTTAGTCATCAGTGTTAACTATTTAAGATTTTGAACACTTGTTATTGCTAACTTTTGGGGAAGAGCATGTCTGTCTCTTAGGCAGTTTTAAACGCCAAAGTTCCTTACAATATGACATATGTAAAGAACACATACGTATGACACACTAAAGCCTAGCTGAGCCCTAAAGCAGAGCAAATGAATTCCTTTTGTGGAAGTGCAGAGCTCAGCAATGACATGAAAAAAGTCCAAGACAAACTGGATATTTTTAGATATCTCTGTGCAAGGTATAGCGCCACTGGGCATGATCATCTTGGCGGCAGACAGGAAACAGGAGGAAGTGGGCTGTGACTAAGACTCCCATCATTTGTTTCTCATATTCATAATTTGATTTTTTTCTTTTTTTTTTTTTTGTTGTTTAAGTTAGTTTTCAGCTGGATGAATTCATTGTTTTGCTGACCGCAAAGCTCCTCACATCCTGCTGTCAGTATAGCAGAAGTGGGATGAAAATAATGCTGGTGAACAGGGTGTGGAATAAATAATTCAGGTTCCCACTGGTTAAGGCATAGTATAAGCATGGAGTAAAACAATCCTTGCCCCAGAAAGCTTGTAATCTAACAGTAAGAAACTAAAGCATGGATGGGTGAAGCAAAAAATGAATATAGATGTGGAAGCACATGAAATTACAGCAGAGAGTTTCTCTGCACTACTGTATGCCAAACAGAGAAATGAAACAAAACAGAAGAGGTGAAAGAGTAAAAAGTGATGTTTAAGCAATATGACTGGTTTACTGCTTTTCCTAAAGAGAACAGAACTTTGAAATCTTTACATAGATATATGTCACAAGGCAATTATGAATGAAAGTATGCAAAATGAGCAATTTAGAGACTAAGATAATGGAATATTTTCTTGGTTACGAATTTTGTCTTCATCCCATCTGTGCTGGAGTTTCCCTGTTATTTCATCATCTTGTACGCACGTGTTACACAAACCACTGTTTCATCACAAGAGGGGGCTGTTTTCTAATGGGATTGAAAAAGCTTCAGTTTGGATTTAATAAGCTCCACCAGAAACAAACAAACAAAAAAAACCAACAAACCAGGAAGCATATGTTTATAGTTCTTGCTTTTTTTTCCTTGTCTACTGTACAAGATGTTGTCACTTCAATTCAGCTTATCAGAAAAAGAATTAAAGGCAATTTGGTGCTCGTAACTGGAAAGGCTATAGGAGAAACGAATTACAGGACTTTTCAAATGTCATTGTTAGAAATCGTGCTCTAAAAGTGAAAAAAAAAATCCAATAGATAAAGTTATAATGTATTTCTGACCTCAGTGAGAACAGAAAAGTGAGCTCAGTTTATCCCTCTTTGTTTAGATCAGACAAGAGCACTGCACAGTAATGTGTCAGATAGGCAGAGCTTCTTGGGCAGTGTTAATGGTCCCTCCTTAACTTTTTTTCAAAAAGGTTTCAAAAAATTTGTTTCACGCAGCATTACAGCAATAAGAACATGCTCCCCCTTTGTGTTTCATTGTGGATCATTCCGAGCTACACAGGTTTCTGCCTAGCCACCAGCCCAACTCCATCATCTGTGGAAAATACTGCAATTCGTTTGATTGATTTCGCTGTGTCAATGGATGACTGGCTGTAAACCCCAGGGTAGTCAACGGGAAATACTAGCTTTACAGAGTACGGCCTTGCGGCATTAGACTGGAGCAGATTTAAACCCATGAGTATTATTCATTCAGCACCCCTTTCTTCTTGCACAATTTCATTCCAATCTTTAGCTTAAGACGCAGCATTGGTTTAGGTCTTGCCTTTTTTAGGGTTTTGTTCCTATGATTTCTCTCTGAAGGTAAGATGACTGTTGCTTTCATAAGGTTTGCAGTTTCAAGCCATAAATAATTATCTGGTTAACATAATCCTGGAATAGATGTTTTGACTGTGAAATCGAGTCAGTATTGCCAGCTTTTTGAGATCAGTATTGTCGCTTCTATTTTGGCTGTTCATTAAAACTGAATACATTAATCTATTAAAGCTGAATACATTAATCTATTGCAAGAGGAAAGCTTGAGAGTAAGTACTAATTAACAGTAACCAGCGCTGTGTGATTAATATGGATAAAGAGATCTTTTTTTCTTGATAAACATGGAGGTGCCAGTGGATATTAAACCAAGGGTGTATTAGTAGCTGTTTTATGAAAATAAAATATATTAATTGCTCACAAAATTACATCTTATCTTTCAGTGTTTCATCTGCTGGAACTGCTTTCTGTGCTGCTTATGAGCTCTGCCTTCTAACCTGTTCAAATGCATCAATGGCCCTTTGAACACTGACCAAATTCACCATGTTGATGCTGAAAACCAAAAAGAGGAAAATCTGCCCAGTAGAGAGAATATACCAGAGCATGTTCATGTGACCTCTCCTCTATCATCACCTTGTAGAGGTCAAATGGCCAACTTAAATGAGAGGTTAGCACATGCCAAGGAGACCTCACAATCAGGACAGCATAAACCCATCTTCTCAAAAGCAATCAATAGGACCACTGTGAAGCCATCTTTGCAAGCAAAGAAACCTTAGTTTAAAAAAACAAACCAAACCAGAAAAAAACCCACAAAACAAACAACGAACCAACCAAACCTGCAAGGAAGATGCAAATAACGCTGCCACATACCGTCCTTTGGCAGTGGCCTGAGTGCCTGCAGTTAGGAGGGAAGTTTGATCTGGCACACAGAAGCAGCATCTGCACTGCCTTGAGCTAGTCTCCATAGGTTGAGTCTGTTTAAATAAGTTTTTGGCCTGGAGAAGCACTCTTATGCAGAAGAAAAGAAATTGGGTCCTCTGACATCTGTTTTGTTTTCATGGGTATAAATTAACTCTGTAGATACGATTTAAACACTTCTATTGGTTTTATTTGTAATTCAGGAACATGGCACTGGCTAACTCAGTGTGGTAGATTGTGTGGAGTACCACACACCAACACAAGAGCTCTTTCCTATACTCTGTGTTTTAAAGTGCTCCTAATTTCTAGATATTTTGAGCAGTGTGCCAGCCAGTTTTGGGTCGAGTCACAGGATGTTAAGTGTCTCCTTCCGTGTGGACGCCTGTGATCATTTCAAGGGTTAGACACCTATGATTTGCAGGTATGTTTAGAAACAAGGGGCTAGATGCTGACCAGGTTGCTCTCTTTTAGATTAGATTAGATTATTTGGACTCAGCAACGAAGATAATTTCATTTTATTTCTCTGCACAAACCCCAGCACAATGGGATTTCAAAGCACTACCGTTACTCAGTACTAATAATCAAATAATAAAAGCCAAAGGCAGCAGAAGTGATTACGTACCCATTGTTCCAGTGCCAAATTTTGCCCTTGGTTGCAGGAGTCTCTTGTCCAAATCAAGCGGAACTTTGTATCCCACATTCAAGGGCAAAAGGTGGCCTCTTGCCAATGCTTTGAAATTGTGGCTATTTCTTTTTTTCCCTTGGATCTTACTGTACTTCAGCACCTGTAATCCATCCAGGAAAAAGACAACAGCATATTTCACAATCTCAGGTGTCATGCTGCCAACCAAAAATTTGAGTCTGGATTCTCCCGTTTCTGTCCATGTCAGATAGTATCTTATTCCCTGATGCTGAAATTAGTAGAACTGCTCTGTAGAATAAAACGATGAAAGAAAAATCTGTGGCTCTTCATGACTGTTGAAAGCAGGTGTCCTTAGGAAAACAAGCTATAAATGCTCACTGAAAAAACATTCAATATTACAACACAGTCTTTAAAAATATTGTTCTGCTACATAATGGGAAGAGTTTACTTTCAAAATAACAGAAGGAAACTAAGCATTAAATTACTAGGATGGCAGCCTTTCACAAAATGAATCAGTCACAACTTGGTGTATGCGTAGCAAAGCATCAAATAAGATGAGTAAGTGGCACAAGCTCTTATTAACATTAAATAAAAAGTCTGTATTCCTCATTAAATTAGTATTAGAGTGAGTAGGAGAGGATTTCAGTTTCAAGAGCAGCTAATAAAAGAATTTCCATAGCACCTTATGGAGAAAGAACATAAGGGCACAAACAAAGGCAGTCACTGAGATGCATCAGGACTTGAGCAATATGGTCAAGCTAAGAAATAAAAATACACCTCATCAGCATGAGAATGAAAACGAAGGCTGCTAATGCTCAAAGGTCATCACCACCAGATCTCTGGCTTTTTTATTAGAAAAAAAAAATCCATTCTGTACAATCAGACTGGGAAAGGCATAAATATTAATAGATGAGAGCATCTTCCAAGTGGACATGGTGGCAGGTGACAGAAGCCTGGACAGCTTGTGACTTTTAGGCGGGATGCCCACCCCAATTTTATGGATGCAGACATCAAGGCTTAACAATAGGACTTATGTGACATTCAGACAATTGTCTGCACTTAAAAATATGTGGACAGAAGTTCTGACTGATAGCAATAATTTATGGCTGATGGCTTGACAGTGTTTAGGGTCTTACTAGGTGCCATAAATAATCCTGATGCTTCTTCTTCGTTCCTTACTTATAAATTTAATTTCTAAACTCTCAGCTATCACTGCATTTCCTCTGCTACTTTCTGTTGTCTTTGCAGGGTTTTCAGTTTGCAGCATTTAGCCTTGCTTTTCAGCAAGGTATAAAAAAAAAGAAGGCCCTATCTCCAAATTTATGTGTAATTCTCTTGGGTTTTCTTCTTTATTTGACTTGGGTTTAATCTCTTCTGGCTGTTTTATCTCTTGGGCCAGTCTATAACATGATAATGGCCAGCAGTAGTTTCTGGTAGTATGTGTCCTTACTGGCTAAGGCTGGAAGAAGCTGCTTATGTTTCTATCCTAATATCACATTTATTACAGGCTATTATTCAACATAGAGCCCTGGTGTTGAGTCTTATGACATGCAATGGTGTGAACTGTGTATTTAATATTTTTGAAAGCTGTATATGTAAGCAATGATAACAGAAGAATTTGAATACCTTTCTTTCATTTTGTTTAAACTCCAGACACCTGAAAATGACAGTGATTTAAACCACAAAAATAAGATGTTTCAGTAGTAGGTACTTTCCAACAGTTATTCAATTTGCCTATATGTTTAATTCTGGAATTTATCATAAACTAAAACAAAGCATGCAGAAAAATTGCACCAATGCAAGCTCTTAAAAGTAAAAAAATTTTGGTAGCTTGTGTGACAACCAACAGGATTCCTATACAAATTCAGTGAACACTGAGAAATACACTTGGAAAGCATGAGAGAGTCAAACCTACCTAGTAAAATCCTTCCTCTTAGAAACCAATCTGCTTGCATTTTTTGGTGCAAAGGAGGTGATGCCTAACTGACAGGCAGTTACCAGTACTGAAAACATAGACAGAGGGGAATTTAAAAAAAAACCCCACATCTAAGCTTTTTCATGTAAAGGATGTTGCTAGGTTAACAGATACGCTCTAGCATGCAGCGATGTAAGTCCAAAAGGAGAGACTGGAACTTTTGAGTGATTTCTGGGTCTACGCAACAGCACTAACAGTTAAATAGCATTGGTAGCAGCAATTCAGTTCGTGCTGCTCCAAATGCAGAGATTTACAAGCTGCTTTTGTTGTTTACTGTCACAACCCCACTAAGTGCAGGCAAGGAAAATGTTGGCTTGAATTTGCACAGAGTGGAGAAAGAAAATATATGGAAAAAGGTATTTTGCCCTGTATTCTGGTTATTAATAGAGGGAAAGAATGCAGCCAGCAGCAAGTAAGTGGGATAATACATTTTTCTCCTGTAATACAGGGAGGGATCAATTCTAGCAGCAGTATTTCCTCTTATGTCCCCAATTTGATCCTGGCTTGAAGGAAAATATTTTTGAGAGCCTTTTCCAGAGGCAATAAGATACATATGTGTATATATATACACACACACACTAAAAAAGTTAAGTTTAATTTCTTGCAAACTATTTGGCCCAGGTTTTGTTCTGATCGAGAACTCCTTTTTAATTTACCTCGATCTTTTTTTTACCCTGCAGAAAAAAAAAGACTTGCAGAAACTCTTCCTTTGGAATAAATACCACATTTGAAATCATTACTTATCTTGAAACTTTGTTCTACATAAAATGGTATTTTTTTAATCTATTTCATGACAGGTAAATAATATTACTGTAGGATATAATGTCATATTCCAGCTAGTGGTGTTCTGATATGAAATACTAGTACTAGCTTGCAAAAATGATATTGCAACTTATCCAGACTCACTAGTTGCAGAGAATTAACAGAGCATTTTAAAATTATGGGTAAGGAAAAAATTATTGGTATGACATAATAGCTTATGTGATATTCTGGATCAAAGTATTTCCTGCTTCTGCTTTTTATGAACAGTTGACACCTTGAACAAGAAGGTTGACACTGAATGTATAGAGGAGCAGAAGCTTTCATGTATTCACATGGGTTCATTTCTCTAAGAACTATTTTAATTAAAAAAATAGGTTATATTCTAGTAGAAAAATCTCTTGATGAAGACATTTGGATCCATGACAACTCATTGCAGTTTCCAGGAAATGTCTCTGGCTTTCTTGGCGTACTTCTCTGCCTGCAGAACCTGGCCAGAAGCCATCTATATCACTCTCAAAGTCACCACTTCCAGTTCATCAAACAGCTGCCTCTTACAATAAATCAAAATGAAATACAGTTACAAAATATAAACCTAGAAATGAGTCTGCTAAGCCAAACTAAATACATACCTTCAGCAAGTGAGTTATTCTCATGTTTCTGAACTCATTTAAAGGGTTTAAAATATGTAAGTATTGGCTTAGTTTTGCATACATCATTAGTACTTTCACAGTACTGCTCTTAAAGAGTTTCAGAACTGACTTCAAGCCCATTTCTATGACTAGTAGTGAGATTAAACATTCTTCTGTCTCTTCTCCTTCTGACTATTAAAAAGGAAAGCCAGAATCCAGAATCAAAGCACTCTCTCTGACTGTAGACAGACTCTTTGATTCAGAATTTTGTTACATTTGAATCTCGAATGATTGGTAGCTGACCGTTGGATAAAGTTTGCTGGTCAATACAGAATAGGGCAAAACATTTAGTATTGCATGCGTGGAGCACAGAGAATACATAACAATGCAAAACATGACTTTTTATGCTTTGAGGAACAAACAATATCCAGCCCTGTTCAGCTTTTTGTAATTATTAAGATTCATGTCTAGAAGCAGCAGAAACTATCATAGCAGCTGAGCCTTGAATGGACCTTAAGAAGCAGAAAACATTCTGAAAACATATGTTTATAATTCTTCCATGCATCTTGTGCAGTGTGATTCAGTTTTACCAAATTGACCTTAAGAATAGGAGTTCCGCTCAGTCAACTCCAGTAACATCCTAAAATATTTTTTTTCTTTCCTATGTACAGTGATTGACTTTGAAAGCATAAATATTGATATTTTATGTGAATAATGTGAAATGTTGGTATTTCTTCTTCATCGTTCTTTCATGCTTGCACTTGGAGACTTGCACTGGGTTTATTCGATATAGCATTCATAATACTTGCAATGTATTTATAAATAAACCTTTACCTCGTGACCTTTAGACTCAAGGCTGAGTTAGATTTGTTCTAGTTAATATAAAGAACAACATTCAGATAAACCTGTTTCCGTGCTAATAAACAATTTTACTAGCTTTTCAAGGGCAAAATACTGACACAGAAGTGCAATGGTGTGGTTTGTTTTTACCTCGTTAAACAAGATACTTACCACTATTGCGAATTCTTTCTTCTAAAAGGACAGTATGTCCTGTAGGAAGTTTCCTACTGAAGATTTCAGCTGAGCGGAGGAACATGGCTTCTACTGCTGAGCCTTTCAGCAAAGCTATCTGATCTTCATGATCAAGGGTCTGGAAGCCTAGGGAGATGTTACAGATAAGTAAGACAGCAAAAGAAAAGTCCCTGCCAGTTTCTGTCCTGAAGTTCTTGTACATGAGGTGCTGCACATCTGCGCAACCTTGATATTGATGTTAGCAGGAGTGACAAGTGCTGTGGAAATTGAAACCTATATTCCAGAAGATAATTCAAGTTTATGAGAACTAGACTTGTGTTTCAGCATTCATGGTACTTTTAGAGGAACATGACAAACAAAATCTAGTGGCGTAGCACAACCAATAATGGAGACTTTGTCTAGCCTGATGGTGCTGCCTAACATCTTCTGCTGTGTTTCCACCAGAGCTCTCTATATGACTCTCCCTCTGCCATGCTGCTTTCAGCCCTTCCTATGCTCTGATGGCAAAAATCAGCATTTGAAGCATCTAATTTTAAATGTTTCACCTTGTCTTTGCACAAAGATACTAGTTTACATACAAGCTTCCTGTTGTATTTTAAATATGCATTTCTCTTTTTGGAAGGGAAGGACTCTAAAACCTACTGAAGAAATCAGAAGGAATTTGTTAACTAGTGTGAATACAGAGCTGCTTCTCTGAAGAAGAACAGGGGGCTGAAAATCATGAGAAACTCTCCTTATACTTGCCAGTGCAGGTACCCACTTTATACCTACCCCTTGATTCTGTGAGGCAGCATAGAATAACATAGAGAATGAAACAAAAAGATGATAAATCCTGCCAGATGTATGCTAAGTCAACACTGAAAATAGCAGATTATTCAATTACAAAACTTATCCCTTTTTCATTTCCTGCGAGTCAGTATCCCTGTTGGCATAAAAAATATAGTTACAACTGCAGTGCTAGGCTTTGAAGCAAGCCTGTAACACACAAAGGAAGGGTCAATATGATGGGAATATTGGGAAAATAATGTTTTCATACAGCTAAGCATTATAATGCACCTTCCTTAATTACCAGGAACCCATACCATGCCCAGTGTTCACTCTTGAAGTAACATCAACTTGGGAGTTAAAAAAATACTGATGATAAACTCAAGTTTTCATTGCTTGTCCATGACACACCATGCAAAGACCATAAATATTGGTGCCACCCACTAGGGAAAGTTCTTGGTTAGGACTCACAATTCTGTGAATGCCATGACCTAGAATTTTTGCTAGAAAGGCATCAACAATAGTGAAGCAGAGTCTGGCAAGTCTTAGCGGCAATTTAAGGCAGACCATTTGGCACTGCAGTGATATATGAAAATAAAATCTCTTTAGAAACACAACTCCTCTGAGTGTTTGGTTTGTCAATAGGTGAAGGGTGCCACGTCTCAGAGTGGCAGAGTTCGAATTATTCAACGTATTATTCCTCCAAACACAAAGCTCCTTTTCTTTAGACAGTATCTGAAGAATGCATATGTGTCAGAGGAGGTGGCATTTTTATATAGCATTTAAAATATATACAACTATTGCCAAATGGCAACTGAAAGGCATGTAAGCTTTGCAATAACAAAATTTTTCCCAACACACTGTACATACCTGGTAGTTTTTTAGTGAATTCCACAAGAACCTGCACATGACTGGTAGCCATTTCTGTTAAAATCAGAAAGTTTCCTTCAGCACTGAATTCCTCGTGTAACTGTTAAAAGTCAAAACAAACAAAATCTGTTAATATTCATTGTCACTTCACATTTAAAAGCATGAAATACAAGAATTATTAGACTGGATCGAACAATAGGTCCATCTAACCCTGTAATTTGTCTCCAATGGTTGTCAAAACCAGATATTTTTGAAGGCGGCATAGGAAAAGAAGCAGACAGTGCCCTTTCCTCTGGAATATCTGTCTCTCTTTCAATCTCATGTCTAGCAATCAATGATTTAGGCACTTCAGAGCTACAAGTTTTATAAGCACCATAATATTTAACCAAAAGCCTTGTTGTCTGTGAATTTGTATATTTCCTTTTTGAATATATTTTTGGTTTTGACCTCCTCAGTCTCTCATGAAAGTAAGTTCCATAAGTTAGTTATGGGTTATTCAGCTGGTTATTAAGTTAACCAGATTATTAAGTGGCTTCCTTTTATTTTTCAAAGTTGATTTCCTTTTATTTTTCAAAGTTGATTACTTAGGACATAATTTTCTGCAGTTGTTTTGGTTTTGAGGGTTTTTTTAAAGATTAAACATGACAGTTTTGTAAAAAATTGTATCTCTCAAACCATTTTTTTCCCTTTCTCCTGGTTTCCCAAACATTTTCCATCCTACTATGAATACTGGAGCTTTTAAAGGGAAAGTGGAATTTCTAGAAGATGTAGAGGAAAAGGAGAGAGGAGAGGATAAAACAAAAGTACAAACTGGAAAAATGTTGCAAATTTGGGTTCAAAAAAATGAAATATTTTCAAGCGTCCAAGCTGGTATCTTTATAGAAAGGAAGCTTGGCTGCAAGTCAAGCTCAAATCGCTACCTCTACTGACAATGCAAAACACAAAGCTCCAGTCAGTAAAGGTTAGATTTGAGCATAAAGTGTATTTCTGGAGTTAAAAGCTTTTTCTTAACTTTGGAATAAATTGCCCAGAGAAGTTGTGGATGCCCCCTCCCTGGAGGTGTTCAAGGCCAAGTTGGACAGAGCCTTGAGTAGCCTGATCTAGTTGAGAGGCGTCCCTGCCCATGACAGGGAGATTGGATTAGATGGTCTCCAAGGTCCCTTCCAGCCTATGCCATTCTATGATTCAAGTTTGATAAACAAAGTTGTGGTCAAACTGTTGACTGAATGGGAGAGATTCTGCCCCCCTTGCAGCATGTTTTAGCTGTAAGCTGTTACCCATAGTTTGCTCTACTACTTACTACATCCACCTAAGCTGAGTACAAATATTTGCTGCTGTGTAATCCTCAACTTCATTATCCACATCTCAAAAATTAATTAATGTACTTACTAGTTTTTTTGACACCTCCTGTGGTATTTGTTGTTTACTGTATGAATCCATGATGTAATCAAGAAGGTTCTGCTGTTCTGGAGTAAATTCTACTTTCTCCTATACTGGCAAAAAAAAAAAGCCCATCATGAAATGCAGTCATAGAAATGATCTGGCATCTCTTGCTTTAGGCAAAAGCTATACATCCATTTCTCACATTAGGAGACCAAGCAGACAAAGGTTTCCTTTCACTGAGATTTCTGTAGCAGTGTACAGAAGAGAGGTGTATAATGCTTCTAAACTGCATAAGTTTGTGTGGTTTATTATTAGAAATAAGGAAACGTTTAGCAAATAACTAGGTATACTCAAACTTCAATATCACTCCTCACCAGATGTGATATATACCTGACATGTATCAGAAAAAATACTTCAAGGATTTTACGGATGCTTTACTGAGTTTCGACTAAAAATATCAGAACTACTTCTGTACTCAAAGTATTTCCTTGACTTAATGGGAGATGGAACTTTAACTATACAGACAGCTCCAGATAGTTTGCCAGTACTCTGTATTTGCTGTACTAGCCACACTTAGCTCAAACGTCACCCACTACTGTACAAACTATTACAAGAATTTTCTTACCCTATACATTTTAGTTGTAGATGTCACTTGTTTCATGTCATGGCCTTCGTTGTCTTCATTGGCTGTCTGATCTGGGGGCTGTTTCACATTTTTCCGTAGCCTTTTTGACTTGCATTGTATTTCTGTTAACAGACCTAGATCACATAATACAAGAGATAGCAACTGGATTTAGATATGCCTCAGGCACTGTATAGGTACATAAACATGGCCATGAATGTGCTTCACACTAACAAATACACTTAACCGTGCAGATAATTTCCTGAACATGTCATTATCTTTAGATGTGAGTCTAATGAGACATACTAAGTACACACTAATGAATAGCCTAGCCCAGCAGGAGCCCATCTGCAAAGCAAAACTGTTGGTGCTGGTGACCCAGCATCCACACACAGTGCACATCAGGGGTCCTGTTTTGGACCAGCTCTAATCTGGTCATACAGACAGAAAACCCATTAGCGATGGGAGTGTGCTGAAGTGTATCTTTGGTTTAGTTTCATCCAAAAGAAACCCCCTTCATGTGTTCCAAACCCAAAACAAAGTGCAATAAATGAGGTCAATTGGAAGTCTGTCATCAAAAGCGTGCTCCTCATCTAATACAAAACAGTAATTGAGGTACAGCCATTCTTACTAAAAGGACACTGGATGTTTTCAATAATCTTTGAACAACATTATGGCTGTAGTGCAGAATCTTCACACAGAAAACCCTCTCAGAAGAGAGGACCTCAGGACTTCAGCCATTACAGTGTCACTATACAGATAGACCAACAGCTGAAAACGTAGGCTCAAAAGTAACTCAGGCTGGCAAATGTACCTGTAAAATGTATTTATTTAAAATGTTATGTGGTTGGTCTTGCTATTTTGCATTTCATTGTATTAGAGGACTGAATAAAGCCCTGGTTTTACTATAGAGTTTCGCTTGCCATAATGAAAGGATTTTTGCGTTTGTGGGATTTATTTTGTTCTAGACTACATTTCAGTTCCTTGAACCAGGCAGCATCCTTGTGTGGATGTCACAAGAACTAGCAATTTGCTTGTGCTAACAAAAGACAGGGACAATAGGTACCCTACACAACCTGTGGAAGACAGCCAGAAAGCAAAATGAATAAGTAAATAGCTAAGTATTCATCTAAAAATAAACCTATTGGCACAGGACTTTTTTTCTTTTCTTTTTTTTTTTTTTTTTCTCCCCGGCTTTTTTCAAGTATCCTTCCCATTCTTTTCAAGTATCTTCCCATTTTCCATTTGAAAATGCAGAGCAGGAAAAGAGGCTCATTCAGCGAGTATATGATAGTGGAGGAAGATACCATGAAAATAGTGAATTTCATTGTGAATGTTTTTAATTTCCTGTTTAAGAACTATATAAAATAACCTACCTGAACTGCTGAGAGAAGAGGAAATTTACATGATTAAAATAAGACCTGCAAATAATACCTTGAAAGAGGGGAATAGGAATGATAGAGATAATAATTGGTATCAAGCCATGTAATTTGTGATGCCGCACAGCATCATAGATTTCTTTTTCTAAACTATTCAGTGCATCCTTTGGCGATGTTAATGGGCTTGTGCTGTTTGCCAACAGCTTAGGATCTGGTCTACTACCTTCCTAGGGAAAATTTGGTTTACACTTGCATTAAGCAGTAAGATTTTTTTTCTCATGCTTCCTGTTACTTGAGTAGTACCTTGACTTTTTATTCTGGCTCCATTTAAGTTAACCAGAAAACTCACGTGAGAGAGAGAACTTTACTTTTTACCTCAGAGATAGCTAGGTTTCAATGGGTATTAAATGGGTATTACCTTTCAAGAAGAGTGGCAGAACCTGGGTCTTCCCTAGGTAGACATTTCACCCAAGAAACTTGCAGTTTATATCAAAATCACAGCAAATGACTGAAATTGATAGTTAGCAATTTTGATCTGTCTGTGGTTTGTGTACAAAGGCAGAATTAGGATTGTTAAGTAGCCATGCCATAGATGTTTATAAGACTTCACCTCCTTGTTCAGAGGGAAAAAAGAATCCACAGAGCTTGCAATTACAATTCTACAAAATGAGTAAGTGAAACAAAGTTCAAGGTAATCATCTTTTATTTCCCAGTCATCTTTTTTTCAAATAAATGCTCTATCCTACTAGAAGCTTCATGTTTTACTGTCCTGGATTGCCTTGAACTAAAGCAATTACACAGCACACTCCTACTTAAAAGCCATTAAATAGTAACTTGCCAAACATCCTCATTGCAGTGCATTGGAGCATGGTTATGGTTAAGTCATGAGCAACACAAGATACCCAGTGTTTCCATTGCAGAGAGAGAGAGTCAGATGGCAGTGGCACTTGCTGGCTTTTATTTTGCATATGCCAGTTTGTGAAAACGATAGGCCAGTTTAAAAGTTTCATGTGGGCCTGGTCAGTATTGTTTACGCTGACCTATTTTTTTCGGTGATGGGTTGGTTTTTTGTCGTACTGAGTCTCTCAGGCTCTTTTGAACCTTCAAAATTTTGGAAGTTATTTTCCTCTGACTTTCAGGGACACACTGAATGCTGTCATCACAGCGGTAGTGTCTGCTCATATATTTATGTGTTGCATGAAAATATGTCGTATCTCAGGATCTTTGTAGCCTGTTCAATTTGCTGAATGAAAGATTAATTACATTATGCTGGCAATGCATTCCAAATATTGATGGAGCTTATTGTTTCTCACAAAACCAACAGTTAATATAGCATCTTCTGATCAGATTGAGGGATAGAAGTATATTAAAAATTCCAAGTAGATTAATTTCCTGTATGAACCTAAATTGGTTTCACACATACATGTATACTAAAATGATTTAAGCCATCAGGAAAAATGAATTGTAGCCCTGTTCATGGAAGGCAGAAGAGCAGATGTTTACAGACCATTTTCAGGAGTAAGCTTTCAGAAGTAATGGATTGGCCAACATTTTGCTCAAAATGGAGTTTTAAACGTGTTTAAAGTTGCAGTCCAATATCCCTGTTGTTTTAAGTTATCCAGTGTGAAGCTCAATGATGTTTATAAGCTGCCAATCTGAACAGCATTTTCGCTTTAATATGGAACATTATTAAAGTTCATCAGCTTCATTTCTGGAGATGGTTCTGCCTATGTACCTATATGCAAGGCAGGAGAATCTGTAGCACCGTGAGAAAAGCTAATGAGACTATAAAAAAGGACTAGCCCTTAGCAGGCTTTGCCCGATTGCTGGGTGAGGTCTGGGAACACACACTTGGCAAGTCCACAGAAACTTCCTGCTAGCAGCAGTCCTCCTCTTTTCTTGAAAATGCCATTGTTTGAATGCCAAAATTTGGACAGGGCTAGCAAGAACTTGACAGGGAGAGCCCCAGAAAGAGTAGCAAAGGGAAGCGACAGGACTTTCCTGCTCTGGCTTCCACAACACTGCAAGCTCCTCACTCCTGGGGAGTCTCCCATAGATTTGCTTCCCCCAATTGCTTTTCCTTCCTGCTCAAGCAAACTAATGGCTGTCATCTAGTGGAGCACAGCCCTTCCTTTGTCATTTGCTCAGCTCTTATACCCTAGTGTCCCTGAACACCAACTAAATCCTGTGGCTTATAGGTGCATTTGCCTTTTTCAAAAGGATTTGATGCACAAGCACAGCATCATCTTTAATGCACCTTCCGCCTGCCAGATTATATCTTTTATAGCTTTGTTACTAAAACAATTAAACAGATATACTATTTGATGTGTTCTTGTACACACTGTATGATGCAAATACCTGTATACATACATTCAGCCAACATGCCCATTTGCTTGCATTTCCTTAGGCGGCACTCCTGGCATTTTCTCCTCATGTACATGTCCATCTCGCAGTTGCCTCCATTTTTACACTTGTATACTGCATTTTTTGTGATGCTTCTTCTGAAGAACCCTGCACAACACAGCAGTGACATAGATAAAAGAAAACACTCAAAGAAGCAAAGCAGTCAGGTTGAAGAACATCTCCATCGGGTTTTCTGAATGACACGTTCTGCTGCACTGAGAGTTTCTGTCCATGCCTGGATGACTATATTCTTAATATTTGTAATGAAAATAGTATCAAAGTAATATAATTTAATAAATCAACATGATAAATCATGTGGGCAAACATCAGTCATTACCCTAAAGTAAAGTCCTGGAACTGTGAATTTTGGGAAAATTCAGACCCAAATCTGAAACCTGCAAGGAGCAGGTTGAGCACCAGCACTAGAGCTGGCTACAAATAACCAGTGAAAAAAAATACAAGTCTGTTAAGCCACCTGAGGTACAGGACTCACAGAAAGAAAATTGAGTAACTCAACATGCTTTCCTCAGCTCCTGGGAGCTGAAGAAGCTCAGCTACAGAAGGAACTAACTCTCTCTGGCATGGGACGGAAGCTCAGTCCTCCTTCCCATGTGAGGGCAGGTTTCTGAAACAGACTCCTGGGGCCTTCTGCTGGCACATCACTGATTTATAGCATACTTCAAGTGAGAGCTCTGTGTAAATTTATACTGACCAGAGCTGTTCACAAACCTTTTGCTTTCTCATTGCCACCGACTGGCACAATGAAAACACCATTGTTTTCCAACCCGGCACTTTGACGCACTAAGAGAGGCACAAGATAAGACTCAGTCTCCCAACTCAAATCATAGGGAAAATTCAGATGTGAATCTGAATTGTTCTCCATTGTGTGATTTGTCTGTGTGTTTTCAGAATGCATTGAGCTAAGATATCATCCTGCTGATTCTGGGCGAGAAAACAGATGACAGGATGATTTTGCCATTTTCGGATCCCAATTTCCCAACTTTGGCCCATGTTCTTATAATTGCATATTTTCTCCCAAACACCAGTGTGTAGCTACCAGTAAAACAATTACAATATCTGGTCACAAAAAATCTGACATTTCTCTGAATCTGCTGTATTTCCTGCTTGAAATCTCTTCCATGCTGTCTGTTTTACTGGCTTCTTTTCAGATAAATTCACGTGAGTGGCAGCAGCCTCTTTTGAAATGCAGATTGCTTAGAACCTCCAGCAGCCCCAGGCCTTACATTTATTCATCATTCAGGTGGTGTTTAATACATCACCATTTACTGGTCAGGGAAGGGAGAAAAAGGCCTGAATTTAAACTGTAGTTTGTCAGTGTCAGTTAAAGGCAACTGCATCTGCTTTACATCTTTTATAAATTTTGTTAAATTTAAATCCTATAATTCATGACACGTTAATTAGTAATAAATGTCGAAAAGTTCTGCACAAATATTTATGACATTCTAAGTCCGATTGATGACTTTATCACTCACTCTGTCCACAAGGTGTGTGTTTGCTTTTTCATGGAAGAGCAAACAAAAAGAGCTTTAGTAAAATAATTTTTTAGAATTATTTAAGATTGTGAAAGACAAATGCAAAAAGATAGGATTCAATAGGATTCAAGTGGTCAAATATTTTCTCTTGGAAGTAAAGTTTTTGAAAAAATGAATGATGTGAAATGAAAAGTGAAATATCTTTTAACAAAAAAGTAGTTTTAATCCTACCCTCACTTCAGTTTTATCATGAAGTGACTCTTGAATCATTGTCTTCTTGAACAGACTTTGTCATCATTAATTTTGAAATTAGCTTTTTGGTACAAATGGAATTTCTAGATACATTATTCACTAATAATTCAAAATGGAACTTAACTGCCTGAAATATTTGATGTGACCTTCTATAAGAGGAGGAGTTTTTAAAAAATTCAGAGATAAGTCAGAAATGACATCTGTTAAACTAATGACACTGCAGTCCCAAAAGCTGAAGGTTTTTCTAGCACAGTCTTAACTTTTACCTGATCTCGCCAAATTACAAAAAGCTCATGTTGGCTGGAAGTGTTGAATTTACTTTTTTCTCTTAGCTTGTCACAAATACAATTAATTATGGCTAGAGCTGATCCAATGCTAGTGATGCTGATTTATCTGATGGAAATTATGAACATTGAAGGAGAACAGCTGTTAAAAGTGTAGATGAAAACTTTGTAAATATCTCCGTTTGCCATCCTGATGGCCAACTGCTTTGGGTTTTTCAGTTGAAAAGTTTTTTGAAGTTCACAATTTCTAGCAAAGCACCTGCTCCGCTCTGTCAAGACATGCTACAGCGTTCCTTCCCCCCATGCCCATATGGTGGGTGTTGACTTGACATCAAGCATTATCAGGAGTGGTTTGAAGATTGCAAAAACTCATACCACTAGCCTGTGCAGAGGAAATTCACAACTAGCTCTTCTCTCAGCAGAACTTGCTCTGCTTTCTTGAACAAGGGCAATACTTCTGCAACACCCATTCTGCAACACTCAAAAATGGCCCTTAAAAATCCAGTATCGTTATACAGACTAAGGCTATACCAAAAAGTTTTTGATGTCTTTCTGCAAAGGTGGTCTCAGAGATGACCTCTACAGCCGCAGACTTTAAAGCACTGTATATTTGTCACTATGCTGTAGCAATGCCTGTGAACTGCCTCGTCCTTTATGGATCGCAACTGTGATGCAATTTTTGTTAATCAAGGCAGTAGTTTCTAAAGTGATATATTAGAGGTTAGAGAAACCTCAAGGAAGAGTTTTTGGGTTTTTTTGTAGTATCACAGGCAAATGTTATATGAAAGCAAATGTTCTGTTTAATCTTCTTTTGCATAATATTAGTGAAGTAGTTCATATTTATTTGTTAATAGATGGTAATGTATTAAAATATTATATAGAAATGTATACTTCTGCCAATATCCTTAAATTATGTTCTCATGAGGGATGATAAATAAGATCTTAATATTTGTTCCTTCTGCTCAAGAAAGAAAACCAAAAAGAATGGAGGATGTTGCTGAATGCATTACCCAAGAGAGAAGTGAAAAAAAAACCCACCATATTCATCACAGAGAAATGAATCTCATAAGAATATGTGCAAAGCCTCCCCCTTTGAATAAGAACGTCCACAACATCAATGGAGCAGGAGTGCTGCAAGGTGAGCACTAGTCTTGAAGAAAGGGATCTGCATGTTTTGGACACGCATTGAGCATGAATTAACAGTCTTGTCACCAAAAAGAAGGGCTAATCTCATGCTCAGATGTGAGACACGTGAGGTAGTTCTTCTACTGCACTGATAAGAGCACAACTGAAGTACGAAGCCCAGTTTTGATCACCACACTTGGAGGGTAATATATACCCATGTGAAAAATTCCACAGATATACAAGAATGATCAGAGGTCTAGAAAACATAGTATCCTCTTCACCTAGTCACACAGAATTACTATCCTCAGCATATCTTTTTACTGAATCAGCTGGTACTTTAATCACCTCTGAAGTTTGTTGTAGAAGCAGAATACATTATCTTTAAATAATTCAACTTTTGCTATGTTTGATCAAGGGTGCTGTTCTTTGATGTTGCAGTCGTGAAACAGAACGAAAGCATAAAATAAATTATCCCAATAAAGCAGTAAAATCATGGTTACGTAGAGTGATTCAAACTGAATCAGGAGAGAGATGAACGTATATTTCCTTTCACCATGAGTTTTAGTCTGAATATTTACCTCATGGTTTTAACCTCTCTCCTAGAAGCATTCTTTAGTTTGTAAATTCTGTAGTTTGTAATTGTCAGTCTTTGAAAAATGACTAAGACATTTAATAATGAAGTCAATAAAGGATAGGAATAGCTTACTAACAGAATGGATATATCATTACTTGGAATCTTCACATTAAAATTGAGTTTAATCTGGTTTATAATGACAGAATTCATATAAGTTAATTCACATTTTTTGACTTTGAGACTATTCACATGGACAGCAGAAAGAAACGAATGTCTTATTTATTGGAATTATTGAGATAAACTATATGACCCTTGACTGTATTCATGTTTAGAGTGGTTGACCAGCATGGTCTGTTGTGCCCTCAGGAAAGAATTTGTAGTAGATAAAGCATAACTCCCAAATTAGTTCAAAGTCCACTCGCAGTGACAGCGAGGTCCACATGAAGATATTTTAGTGCTTCAGTAATGTTCATGCTCTAGCCTTTGTCTATAGAACAGAAATGATAATGAAATATTTATTCACAGAATAGAATGAAAAACTGGGGCATTATTTTTCTTTCTGTAATGTACCTCAGCCCTGTAACAGAGTTACCATCTTTAGTTATAACAGTTCTTCCATCAGCCTAACCTTTTGTCCCTCTCTGCTAAAATATCTGGCAATCATGTTTCCAATAATGACAATGATTTTCTATACCCCGTTTATCCTGACTCCAACTTGTGAATACTGTTCTCTTAAGAAGCAGGATATTTATCCTGCAGATACTACCTGTTTCCTGAAGAAGCTCCCTCCCTAGGTAGAGGAGCTATCCCTTGAAGCAAATCCAGATTTAGAAATCCTCTCATTTCACCAACCCGAACAGACTTGCCTTATCCTTTGGGAGCTGAGGGAAAGAAATTCTCTGGGAACAATCTGCAGGTGAGAGCTGACAGATTCCACTTCCTCTTGATGTGTACTACAGGAGGTATTTGGGCTGGGTTCACAGCTGATTTCTAGGGCAGCCTAGCACTGAACTCCCAGGGACCTCCATGAGTTTGGTTCCTTCCACAGGCAGAGATCAGCATTCACAGCTGCCAAGAGAGCAAAGCCAGGCTGCAAGGCCCCCACACAGAAGCTTTTCTTCAGTTCTCCAAGAACTAAGGATGGCTGAAGAGCCATAGGTTGGCCAACTGTGCTCTATATTCGTGGGACAATGGTGGATGACACTGCCAATCTGTCTTGGGGAAAATACAGAGTAGTGTACACCATATCCAAATGTAAATCTCTAAAATTATTAATGACTCAGATAAAATCAACAAAAAAAGAAAAAAGTAAAAAATAAGAAACTGCTGTGCTTATTAGCTGAACAGTATTCTGTAATTGATTTCATCCTACCTTTGCATCCTTCACAAGTAAGAGCATTGTAGTGGTATCCAGAGGCTTTGTCACCACAGACCACGCAGAGCTCTTCTCCTTTCACTCTTCCTGTGGAGTGGCCCAGTCTAGGCTTTTTGGCTGCAGGGATATCCATTATCTCTGTCTCCCTTGTGAAAAAGGTCTCTGAGGGTATTCTCCTGAGCTCGTACATCCCAGGGGGATACCATTCCTCATGCTGCGGAGGGTAGAATCCTAGGTTGGAGTAGTAAGGTGGTGATGAAATCTGAGGCTGAACTTGGGGAAATGGCACACTGTTGTACTGTGTGTAGGGTGACACATCTGCCTCTTGCACTGGAGAACTCATTGGCTCTGAAAGGACACCTGAAAAATAATAAGGCGAAACCAATTTCTATTACTACTATGAAACTGCAGTTATCACAGAAGTTTCTGCTTCCAGACATCCATTTCAAAAACAAGGCATAATTGTAAAGATTGCATTGTCTGAGCTCAGATTTGCTGTGGTCCTGGTCCTACACAAATATACTGTGAGATATTTTAAAAGAAACTTAGCCATTCTCGGCCACTCCTTTATTGTTGGTGAAAATGTCTGGCCCTGGCACTTACACAAAAAAATCTTGAAAGATATCATGCAGCTAATCGTATAAATGTTAGTTTTTAGGAAAGAGCAATCCACACCACAGAGAAGGTAGCAAGCCAAATTAAGTCTCACAGTAGAATAAAAGAAACCCAAACAAAAGCAAAAAATCCTATGGAATTGTTGAAAGTTACCTCTAGACTCAAATATTGTGTTTAATTTCTGTTTAATGTTGAATAAATATGTCATGATAGGGAAAAACTGCACTGGGGAAAAGACAAGAAGAGTGAGACTTAACTAAAAGACTAAGAACATGAAATAAACCTTTTAGAAGAGCCTGAAAGGGGAAAGTGAGGTTACCATGAAGGAATAGGGAAGGTATTCCTAACATAAGTGGTGAAGTGCAACCTTTTCACCGTCCAGCCTCCAATGGCCATCCAGCCAGTCTCTTTAGCCTGATCTCCAGCTCCTACAAGCCTGTGCCACTCAGCGCAGTTGTGTGGTTCTCAGATGAAGCACCTCTGAGCCAACAACAAACCTGGCAGTGGTACAAGGAATGGTAACCTTTCCTGTTGGGATTGACACAGTATGTGGAGGCTACCTTAACTTTGCCAAGGAAATAGCAGGTTTAAAAATGCAAACTAATTAAGTTTCCTTTTTTTTCTGTACCTCAACAACATCTAGCAGCCCATGGATGGTGTAATTAGAATCGAGTCCATGTCAACCAGCTGAAAAGAGCAGTTTAAAAGTTATGTGAAAACTACTTCATATTTTCTCTTAGAGAAAGCCACATCTTGCTGTTTTGTGAAAACACTGACACAATCCTTCATTAGTTCCAAGAAGAGAATCTGGAAAAAATAATGCATATCTCCAGGAAGATGCTGAGTCTCACTTTTATTGGAGTCAACAGCAGTATTTACAAGGAAATCATAGATTAATGTTGATTGGTTACTATTACTTAACAGTGCTTCAGAAGCACTCCAAACACATTTTTGCTGATAGAAAATCGGTTCCCTGGCAAGTCTCCTTCACTTCTGAGGAATCAGAAGCAATGAAGAAACGCTAATGGTTGAGAAGAGGGAACATCTGTAATGACAACAAAGAATAAAAATCTGTAGTAAGGGATTCTTCCCTCTGCTTTGTCTCACTTCCATTAGTGCCAGAAGCTAACCTTTTCATTTCACCTACTTTTTCACTTTCGAAGTCTCACGTTCTTGATCTGCAGCCTTCTGCCCTTCCTATTTTACCATGTTGCAGAAGCCTTACAAGTGGTTTGGATTTATGTGATTGCTGTATTGTCCACAGCACATCTTTGCCAATAGCAAACGTTGGGGTCCCAGTTCAAGAATAAGCATCAAGATATATGTCTGGAACGATGTGACGCAAAATCAAATGAGAAAAATGGTGCCATTTAATATTAACACTTAGTTTAATAATGGTTGCATTCAGTTGCTCCAGTCAAGGCCAGGGCCCCGAGTACTACACTAGCAGAGGCAGAATAGCAGAAGGCACTCCCCAAACTCGAGTTTATGCCCTTTAAATAAACAGCATAGGCATGTGGAGACTTGAGACAAAATACAGGCATCTGGGGACTCTGTGGAAGAGCCTGGAGGTGAATTTACAGCTTCACGCATCAAATGCAAACCGTCACTGATACCTGCCAGCTACAATCGTGACAAAACACATAAAGGCTAAGGACAGCAATGATTAGATGCTGACCTTTATTGTGCAGTACAGGTTTAATGAGTGAGTGGTCGGTCTTAAATTGTATTTACCGTTTGTTGAAACTACCGCTCATTAAGACTGGTCAAGGTACTTAGGTACAAAAAATGGTGTTAATTGTGAGATACACAGTCATCATACAAATCATCCAGTCTGTCTTTGGAAAGGAATCTGTTCACCATGGAGACCTAAGTTGTCATTTGCTGGTTAGTAATTACTTAGTTGATTGAGTTTGCTAAAGGAAAGCAGGATGATCCCAAAATGAAAGGAAGGAACTGTTGATTTTTAACTTTATGCCATCCACAGGAAATTCCACAAAAGCTCTCTGCCAGCCTCCTGAACTGCTTGAGCCTCTGAAAGAGCAAGGGAAGGCCACACTCCTTCCACAGCAGAAAAATAATCTCAGGACTTGTTAAAAATCTCAGGACTGCTAAAGAACTGCAGCACATGCTGAGACAATATTGTGTGTTTATTTGAACCACTGTAGATCCATTTGGGTTACAGATATGTTTAGAAAAATCTGCACAATCATTAATTCTACTCTACTTCTGGAGGAAGAAAAAAAAAGTGAGTTTTAATGTATGAAGTTAAATATGGGGAAAAAAAACAACCAGTCTGTATTTCCTTTTTCCTCTGTCAGGCACGTTACAAAATTCAGCTGAACTGAGTCTATGCTTAGAGCAGTGGAAGGCAAAAGGGAGAACAAGCAGGGTTGAGAGGCTGAGAGAACATGGTCTTGTTTTATGTAAGACAGGTTTACAACCAAAACTCTAAGAAGTACTTGGATATTAAAGTTGTGGAGACTAGAGTGATTTTTAAAGGTAATTAAGTTGTAACTATGTAGGTTTTCCCACTTTAGCTTAAAAGGGGGGATTTTTTTTCTTTTTTTTTTTTTTCTCCAAGTAGACTTGTTTAAAGGGCTTGGTGGTTATCTCTATTTCATCTTTAGAAATCAGCCATCTTGGGCCAACTCAGTGAGACACATTCTCTACCCAGATGAGATCAAGAATAGCTGTCAAATTTCTTTTTTTCTCCCACAAAATCAATGAGTCTAGAATTAAACATTGCACGAAACAATCTGCTGCAAAGCGTTAATGATCTAAAATCATTCCTAAAAATAATCATTTAAAACTGTGGAGACGTTCCATAAAAGTGATTTCAAAACAAAACTGTGTGGTTTTTTTTAAATGTTCTTTTACTCTGAGATATTATCTTAAAAAATCAAAACAAACAATGAGTTTGAAATAGAAACTAGATGCCTTGAAATTACTGGGACAAAGTATTTCTATGACCTGATCCAAAAAGAGTGGTTTGAGCTGTGTTCCCCAGCCCTCTGCGTGCACAAAAACTGAAGGGGTTCTGCTTTCAGAGGCATTGGCTGCACTGCTCTGTCCCATGTGACATTTGAAAACCACACTGATTTTTTTTGAATTATGCTTTGCAAAGTACATACAAGTCTAGAACAAATAGTTTCCTATCTCAAAAGAAAAACTAATCTTATCTTGCCAACCGGAATGTACATATGCTTTTACCCAGATATTTGTAGAAGTCTGAGATGGGCTGGTCTCCTGCCACTGTAAGGCACAAGCCAGCCCACTGAAATTGCTAGAGTTGCAGTATTATAAAGCAGTGAAAGTGAAATCAGAAACGAGCTCACTGGAATACAGCAATATTTTGTATTTGTGTGGCCTTAACTATTTTGAAACATCTCTTTTTCCTTTAGGAAGCAGACCTTTTACATTTTTAAAGAGCGACTATACAAACACACACAACTGATGTCACTTATAGCTGTAGATTTTTTAGATTATGTTTTGCAAATAAATGTTTTTCAATAAAAAACATTTTACAGAAGTCTGGAAACTTTATTAATGTCAAAGTGAAACGTTCACATAGATATGGTCGTTGTTTTGCAAATATGACAATAGCACACAAAACACAATACCACTTGCAGCTGAAACTCGTTGGAGAGTTTTGCTTTTGTTCCTTTAAATTTTACACAGAATATTTTGCATAAGACTTGAAAAAATACTTTACCTAGGCTTAACCACTTGTAGCAGTGAAAGGGAGTTTTCTTTGTAGGAACTAAAGAAAGTGGTTTCAGTTTGCAGAATTATACTGAGGTTACATGCAGCTTGAAGAATAACATGTTTTTTTTCAGAATATTTCAGAAATTACAATGAGATCGCATTACAATATAAAAGTAATTGTTCCATTAACATAAAGCTAATTAAAGAGAAAAGAATTCTAAACAGGTTTAAATTATGAACCTCCAGTCCTCCGAAGGATATTTATGAAGGAACTTAAAAATATAAGAACAAGATTCAGGATTAAGTAATTTGGAAATCATAGCATAACCATTAATGAAAACCTGATTTAACTTTAAACAAGTTATTTGTAAATCTTTAAAGATCATTTGGTTTGAACAACCTTCTAGCACCCTACAGTTTCAAGAAAGAATACAAGATCAGATGACAAACACTTCCAAGCAAGAACAATGTCCAACATGACAATATCCTACCTTAGGCTGTCTTTGATCTGACCATGCCTTGAAGAAAAATACTCTCCTTAAGGTACCCAGTTGTCCTTTCCCTCTCTTTTCTTTTTTTCCCCCTAAAGACTATGTATAAATGAAACTTCTTAATTTTGCTTTGTCTGTATCCTGTTGACTTCTTTACTGTGAGAACTTTCTTTAAGACTAGCAAAGGAGTGACACAGGCCAGAGGTTATATAGTTTACTGATTAACTTCATTACAGAGAAACTTGTTTGTAAATGTCTGAACAATAGCAATGTCCATTCCCAGTGTGGATTTACCTGGATAAAATTTGATTACCATTCAAGAGGATGCCTCCAAGTAGCGTAGCCATTGTAATTTTTTTACCTATTAAGGTTTATTTACAACAAAATTTGTATCAATAAATATATAGTAATGTCAGGTGATTCTGTGCACTAAATTAACCATTGCAATATCAAAAAAGTGGGTTTTAGCTGACTGGATTAACAGATATTTTTTAAACACAGAATAGTTGTATTCTCAAAAAAAGGCCAAAGTTCTCAGGCCATCCTGGACTGGACATCTGCATGACAACACAGAAGAGTGCCAGAGTGGTGTCCTTGCCCCAAGGCCAGACGTCAAAGATCAATTCTCATCTGTGTAGCTCAGAGGTAGTTGTAGCTCTGTCTAGAGTGGGCAAGATGCATCTACACTATGTAGCCTTTGATGCTGATCTTGCTATTCTGGGCACATGTAGTTTCACTGTGGCTCTCAGATATTATTGTTTAATATATGTCATTTCAGGTCAAAGCATCCATAATATTGTGAGGACTGTGTTGGATGCTACCACAGCAGTACTGGGTCAGGAAGAAGTCAGAAGATTGTGTGGCATGTCTTAGTTTGATGGCAGGTAAGGTATAAAGGCACAAACCCCGCTGAAATAGTGTTAGTGGACAGTGTAAAGGAGTCAAACCTACTGCAGTCTTGTCCATGCTACCTTTCTGAGAACAGTCCTTGGAGTAAGCCTGTGTCTTAAAGACACATACTAAAGCTTTCCAAAACAGACCCCTAGAGCAAAATAAGAGTTGAGTAGTGTCAAGAGGGATAGTCAAGGGTGCTGTGCCTCTTCCAGTCTTCAACCTCTTTCATTTATCATTGTAGATGAGCCCACTAAGACTCAACATCAGATTTGAAACCAGAAATATGTCTGAGGATCACACCTGGAAGTAAATAGGCAGAGAATCAGGCCTCAGACTGCAAGATTCCCCTTATTCACAAAGCAGCCTCTTTTCCAGGCTAAGATCCACAAATGGCTCACATATATGCAACAGAAAGCTTTGCACAAAGGCATTTTGGTTTTGTCTTGCTCGTGGTGCAAACGAGCATTGAAGGTGCAGCCTTCACCCTCAGAGCCCCGTTCATCTGTGTTCCTTCTCGTTAAATTTTTTTATCAGATTGTCACTGTTTGGTTTGGCTCTCTTCATAATTATTATATATACACAATTTTCTGTTTTAATTTGTGTTGTCTTATTTCCTTTTGATTTGGGGTCTATTACAGGCCTAATTATCTTCTCTGCAGGGGTGAAGCCAGATGTTTCATCATCTGCCAGGTGTTGCTAAAGACAAGGAGTTATTTAAAATATCTTGTGATTTTCAAGTTGTTTAATCAGTTTGGACACTTGATCCTACTGCCTTTTCTTTTTAAGAAAAAGTATAATCAGAGCAAATACAAATTTATCTAAAAGGAGTCTGCCTTTTAAGCTTATCTTGGCAGTATTCTATGCTTACAACAATTTTCAATAGCATTTTGTTGCTCTCACATTGTCAAATATTGAAGACAAGTTTAGATATATTGCTTTCTTTCCCCTTTCTTATGTTTCATTTTTTGTTTATTTTTCCGTGTCTATTTTAAGAGTGCTCATTCACTCCCAAAAACTTCTTTCTCAGCTAAGGACATGTACAATGAGGGTGGCAGTTCTTGTCTTGTTATATTTTGATGTCACATTACAAGAAAACGTTGTCAGTCCATCAAAAAATACTTAAAATAGGTCTTTATTCAAATGAAACATAAAACAGTACTGATTTATCTTTCCAGGTTCTTAAAAATTATTCCATCTCTGATAGCTGAAGTTTCACACTTAATATCTTTCATATTAATGACTCCTATATAAGGTGCTTTCACAGAAAATACAACGGGGCTATTACTTTAACGGCCTACTACTTACTTATATAAATGACAGCTTGAGTCAAACACTGTATATGTTTCAGATATCATACAAATATATAAACTTACTATTCACATTTAAAATATGAAGGAGACCTTTTCAGTGTCTGAAAATTAGTTCAGTCCCTTGTAAAAAAGGACAAGTGGTAACCATTGAAAGAAATAAGATAATGAAGATATAGGTCATTAACACGTGTTGGCCCTACCTTTCAAAGGCAACTGAAAGATGTTATCAGATAACTTTTCGCATCAGTCTTGCTGTCACAGCTTATTGCCTTAGAGTAAGGCTTGTCATCTTCAGCACAGTGCTCTGCTAACACACCTCAGTATCTTCTAGGTCACAGCTTGTGTCCAGTCAGTTTGAAGCAAAGTGGAAGAGCTCAGAACAGTCTATATTTATCATGCTGGAAGTGTCCACAAGACAAATTTGTGTCTCTAAATTGAACTACAAAACTCCCAAAGGTTTTAAAGGACATCAAGATTTCAATCCTAAATTACAAGGGTTCAAAAATGCAGACTGATAGGTGTGTCACTTCCTTTTAGTTCAGGATATGAAACTGGACAAGTCTTCACATAGTTGGCCCTGTTCAATTCAATGTGGCTGGTGAAATATAAACAAGGCTTAACTGAGGAAGAGAAATATCCTAACAGGACAGGTCCTGTGGAGACCCATGCACCTCTGGGATTTCTTGTCAAAGTCCCTTTCTCTCACTGAGAAAACCAGAGCTGCAAGGAACAAGAAGTTGATCTGGCATGCAGATGCTATAGAGGATGGATTTTACATATCTGGGTTTGGCCACTTCTTCAAAAAGATGTTTTCTATAAAGAGATCTAGGATGTTTCTAAATCACTTAAGTAGTGAGGAAGAAAAATAGAAGCTGTTTTCAAGGAAGATAGGGTGGAAGAGAAGGACCTTGACTTCTACGAGGTAAAAGATCCTTCCTCACTTGCATTTTGAGCCCCTCTTTCCAGGGACTCAAGCTACAGTTAGAACACACTAACTCCAAAGACATAAAGAGGTACTTTACCTCAGACAAATACTGTTAAAATAGCAACATACAGTTTCCAACTACTGAAAGGCAGAAAATCTTTTTTTCTTTAAGCTCTTCTGAAATCTGTTGCAACCAGAAATCTTGAGGGTGAGCATGCAGAATTGCCCTGTTATTGCCATGGTGATGAGGCTCACAGCAGAGGCAATTCACGATTGACAACATTTCTTTTGAGAGACCTGGACCTGGTGTTAATGTTTGGAGATGCACTTAGATTTTTTTTTTTTTTTTGAAGGTCTAAGAACAGTCTCCCCATAGACTGAGTGAATCATGATGAAAAGATAATATATTTCCAAGATTTTTTTATAGAACATGAGCACACGTCTTTGAAAAAGTAGACTTTTTTATAAAGGCTGATGTTTGTAAGCCAGCAATTTCTCACTTGAATTACATTAGAACTGTAATGTGTGAGAAGTCCTGGGAGAAATGTATATTCCAAGGGTCATTTAAAAGAAAAGCTTTCTTTCTGTTTCCTTGGGTTCACAAGTCTCTACCTTCCAAAACTGAATGTCAAAAAGATGTAAGTAGTTTACAAACATAAAATTAAGAGGCAAAAAAATTTCCTACAAGCATCTTGAAGAGATGAAGTCTTATTTTCATAACTTTCTTAATAGACTCAGCTTCATATTATTTCTGAATTTTTTTACAGCTATAAAAGCAAAAGACACCAAATTTGTAAAGAATTCACTTCTGAGACTTGAGTGACAACCCACAAAACAGGACCAAGTGGCCACATAAAACAGAAGTCAGCTTAAGTGAAACACAGCAGGAGTGCTAAGTCTCCTTTCTAGTGGGACACCAGATTCAACTCCTTAATACATTATTTCTTTCTGTTACAGAAATGTCAGTTTAAATTAAATCTGAATTGTGCTAAGCTCCAAATACCTATAATGGAAGACACAATCCCTCTTCTGAAGACCTCAGAATTTCTGGCTAAGATTCCAGTATAGAGGGAAAGTAGTTTACATTAACATGCTTCCTTGTATTTTGAACTACCTGATCCTTACTCTTTAAAAATAATGAAATAATTAGAGAAAAAACCATCAGCAGCAAAATCTTCTTGACAAAAATCTGAAGTAGTTAAATTATGCAAGCCTTTTAAAGGGATGACTGGATATAAAATTCATCATCCTAGATTTCAAAATCATCCTCCTCTTTGTGCATCATGGCCTGACATTGGAATTAGCAGGTAGCAAGGAAGTGTTTTCCCTATTTATGTATACTTTTTTAACAACTGCAAAAACATTTCTTCCACTAAAACCCAGAATATTTAAGGGAAAAAACAATAACACATCAATAAGATGGGATTTGCTTATCATTACTGACAGTGTTTTAGTGCAGTTGTATGGAGCCAGAACACTGGAATTGGTCTGATTCGGAGAGATGCTCCTGACTTCTAA